TTTCATATGACAAAAAAGTATAATTCTCAAGGAACGAGAATGAAATCAACTTGATTTGCCAAATATTTCTCAGCTCGTCGTCGCGCTCGTTCGTGTCCATGATCATTAGTGACCTTGGTTCTGTGTGAAAACAATCATTGCTCCCCTCTGACCAGTATTAGAAAATTGGTTTTCAGTGTGTGCCCGTATACAAATTTTATGTTCGTATGAATTTATACACCTGTGTACGTACATTCATACATACATACATACATACATACATACATACATACATACATACATACATACATACATATATACATGCATATATACATACATGTCTGTACAACGCCTCAGTTTGTGAAAATACTATTGTACCGGAGTTGGTGATGAAATCGCGGACTGAGATCTTTAGCAGCAGTAGTAGGTAAAAGGGACAAGTGATCGGTCTGTTCTGCAAAATTAGGAACGATGAAAAAATGAAACAATAATACCCTTACAGATTATGCCGTTAATTACATTTTTATTGATCCGGTAATTGTTTGATTAATCAAAGTAGTTTCACTTTTGTGGACAATCCAAATGTCATTTAGCATCGATTTTGACCGACAATTAATTTGTTTGTACAAATCTGTGAGAGTCAATGGCGAACAAGCGCACCAACCTCGGATTCGGTATAAGCCCAAAGCGAACTGGGATGTTCGGTGATTGCAATTCAGAGTAATTTGAATAGAAACGACACTTCAATACTTTTCTGATTCGCCCGTCCAAGTCTCCAGTTCAGGATGATACATTTTTACGATCGATTATTGTAGTAGTGGTCATATGTGTTTCAGTCGCTGCTAGTGATCTTCTTTAGACATTGAGGTTCAAAATTCGAACTCTGTTGGGTTTGACGGATTTCCAATTCAAAAAGAACAGCAAGAATGCGGCTGTATTTTTTTAACCAATGATCTCGAGTATGTTTTTCTTCCTGCTCTAGTTTAACTGGAATATTAACTGTGATGCATAAGCCCCTGAATAGTGCACCGACACACAACGAAGGCATATTCACGTCCCTCATAACAGCAGTTCTTTACGGTGTCTACTGTTATTGCCAGATCTTTTCTCAAGCTTCAAGTGTGCCACTTCTCGTATTGATTTATGAGCCCTCTGGTTCCATGATTCCTCTGCACGTTCGGTTCGATATTGGCTGTATCTACTAGCTGCGGCTCAATACTTGTGTGGTTAACACTTGCAACTGCAAATAATTGGACTCTGGTTCAATTTCGCTTCTACTTCGTTATTTGTTGATTATGCAGACACAATTTTCAGGAAGAGGGAAGCGGCTGATCAAACGGGTACCATACAACACGCATAATGGGAAAAGTCAGGCGGGACACAAATATCCGAAGGTGTAAAAGTTATAGATTGCTATCAAATTTATTTCTGATTTACTCAGCGAAAACGATACGACAGTTCACTCTGTGCAGTAAAACGAGCCTCGTCAAATCATTGTTCACTATGCAAGGCTGTTCACTAAATTGAAACGGACTGGCATGGTTAAACGCGAAACCCGGAAATTGGCACTCACCTCACTTTCGAGCAGTTCCGGCACGATTGTTGAACGCTATCTCCTTTAAACTCAGCGGCGAAAGACATTTTGAATGGCAATTTGTTTTGTTGTCCGAGAATAGCGTTGCGTTTTATTTGTCCCAATTTACCTTCCAGGGTAGACCGGTTGCTCTACTTCTGTTTTCCTATTTGGGCCCTAATACCATTTGATACCGCAGTTGTACAGTCTGAAGTGCACTTCGGTTCGAAACCTGTTCGCATTCACTAAAGGTTTCCCGATACTAAAGTCTCCGTGCATTCGTTTGCCTAGAGAAAATGTGAATAATGTTGGAGGGGGGGAATAACATACGATTATGTTCAATTCCCACGTCCATTCACGCAAAAATACAATGCCATTTGAGCGATAGGGACATATAAAACGTGAAATTTGTTCCGCTGAAATAGCGCGATTTAGCAAGTATTTGCCTAAACACACGAATGCGCTCCAGAAAACTTTCCACTCAACACTAATGTATATTCGTTATTCAACAGTTTTAGACAAGCGCATAAAACAACACTGGGCTTCAATTTGTGAGTTATCCCTGTTTTTGTGGTATTGATTTGAACTGACTATCCTTCGTACTTCGTCTTCACGCACAATCCTCAGTTCAACCAGTCAACCATACACACTCGGAAGCACTAGACTCCAGTTTCGATCTTATTACAGTTCATCAGTATTGTCTATTCACCGTCCCATCCGACCTTTCAACCAGGGACTCATCGCATGGAAGATGTGTGTGTGTGTGTTACCACTATACCAAACACCTCAGACCACAGCTGAACGGAATAGCCAATTCAGATGTCATCTTCAGTGACAGTCAATCAGTTCCTTTGTGCCCGACAGCAACCAAAGAAAAGGCTCCCAAATGTAATGTCAGCACTCTTGTTAAGCAAAGATAGTTAGCACCGGCAGTAGTCTATTATCACCAGAATGAACGATTCACATTGTTGGAACATCCAAGAGATCAATACAAGATTCCCCACGTCAGTGAAGTTTCTCTCTCTCTAGATAGTTTGTTTTATTGTGGCCTCTCTTTTCCAACTATCAGAACCTGCGTTCTCCCCACACCGAGAAGGGTTGTTAGAGAAAATCCATTCCTGTGCAATTTATCGAAGATTTTTTTACTGTGTCCGAACTGTTTGGCTAGATTACTGCTTCACTACGATCGAAGAGCCCTGGCGAATTTGACCTCCCTGACTTGACAACTACGGTATTCATATTAGCTCGATCAAGCACCGTTGTCACTCAAAAACCTGAACGCCAAACAACCAATCGCAAAATCCAGCACCATAACTATGAATAACTATCACAAACAATTGAGTGATCACGGAAACCCCCAAATCTAAATTTCTAATGTCCACTACAAATTTGGTAAATGATTCGAACGACAATCCATGAAATGACTGTATAGTCTCTATTGTTCTTATAAGGCTTTTCTCGAGTGCATCATTAGACACGTTTTACAATCGATGGATTACGTGTCATCTTTGGAACAGGATCACGTGAAATTATCCTCGTGTTAAATGGCCTTGTTCTCTTATAGAGGATATTTGTTTGTTTGTTTTTTAAGATTTTACGGGTAACATCAGTGTTGCAAGTAGAGCCAAATGGAAGACAGAGGATTCACATGGAGGTCAAGGTTGCCTGGGATAGTGAGCAGATGCACGACCGCCACAGTTTGCGACAATCACTCAAATCACTCAGTATCTCTAACCCCGGAGTATTATTTTCTTTAAGAGCATGGTAGTTATGTGCATTGTCCTATNCTTTGTCAATGGATCAATGAGTTTTGGATGTGGTATCATTGTTGTTCGATTCATGTGTGTATAATGCTCCTTACTCCCCCCCTCCGCCCCTTACATCTATTTGAGATAATATAATAGGCTATCCTTGTCACCACCATTTCTTTGCCCCTTTGTAGGTGAAAGTGAAAGAGGAACAAATANGTATGCGAGCCGTGTTCTATTACAAACAGAATTTCATTTGCGGCATCGAAGGCGATCTGGGCACCATTGTTGATAACGAATTACGTTCACGAAGTCACCGAAAAGATCAGGACCGACCGCACGTATGGGTCGAACCGCGAAAAGGTGTACCCGGTAAAATAGTCCTAATCGAGACGACCGGACGTTGTCTGTTCCGATTCGGTGTCCATCAGGAGGTCGAAGTGTCCGAGAAACATCTACAGTAACCGTGTGCTGTACTATACAACGCTGTATCGAGTTTACACCAAACTTTCTCCCATCTCGTTTTGATGTCAGACTGAAATGAGGAGGGGAGAACAATGAAAGTGGAACATAAACCTATCTTCTTGATTTCCATTTGAAACAAATATGCTCCATGATACTCATTGCGAGCCACCTTACACTGCTTTCTATCCTTTCTTCTTATTCTATGCTAGGATTTATGTTTTGTTTTTCAATCAAGCAAAGAAAGGATGTTATCCAACTACCCCATAACCTTTTTTTCTCTACGATTCTTTGTGTTCACATAGTCACCTTAAAGACATCCCATCCAGAATCTAGCTTCTTGTCAAGCAAGCCCGAGTGACGGACTGTGTGCCTTATGACACTGTAGGCTATGCGAGATTTGGTAGTACTGGGGCACAAATGGACGTGAATTCCCCGTTTTGGGTGATTTGTGAATCGTGCTCACAATTCAAGTTAATCACAATGAAATGTGCTGTTCGTTTACAATATGAAGGTGACACTCTCCCCCCCCCGCCCCCCGAATCAAAATTAAGGGGGCTGAATACACAAGGGATCAGTATCAGCGTGTAAATACAGCATACATTCTTAGCGAACCGAGCCACTTCGCATTCGATCAGTCCAGGTTCCCTACTCCTAGTCTTAGTCAAGTGCGGCCAGGAAAAGGTCTATTGGTGAGTCAATCAGTAGTGCCCATTGGCACTGACAGATTGGAGTTTTGTCATGCATCAGTGACGCAGAACCGAACCATAGTATTGCTCCACGAGGACATCACGGTAAACGGACCAACTCTCTCAAACGTGATGGGGAGTTTCAGCAGAAACGGGGCATATACGGTTTGATTACAATCATGTTTCACTGTTTGACTTCAGTTTCAGCCAAATAGTGGGTTTGTGAATTGTTATCGGATTGATGGTTCTCGCTGTTCAATGATCGATATCTCTCTCGCGCGCGCAGGCGGGCGCTATCTGTCACTTGGACACGTTAAGGGATGAAGAAATTCGCATCCATCTGGAACAAGATAAATAGTCAGTATGCACGTGGCAAGAAAAATGATCAATATGGAAGAAGTGTTACGATTCAAACTCCGTGCAGAGATTTTTTTCAAACGGGGCATTGTTGGTCGAACGCAATTGCTAATGACAAGCCATAATAGGCGATCACAAACTCGTCTTTTGAGAGAGCAACAGGGAGAGACTGACCATGAAGGGAAAGAGGTTTAACCCATTGAATAGATTTATGGTATAAGAGGAGAATTTGAATATCAATACTGAACAGTTATTTTGCCACTGTTTCAGTTCACCAATACTCTCGTGCGAAGATTTCAAATACGAAATTCTGCATTTTTCGTCAAAAGTTTCTTCTCTGCGCTACACACACACACACACACACACATTACCCGATCGCAAGGTTGCATTTTTTTCAGCACATTTTATCCCATAATTGTGAATTCGAATTTAAAACATCATACATTATGAAATTGAAAGCAGTTGGATATTGTCTTTCTCAATGAAGCAAGCAATTGTGCCGTTCTGTGGAAACTTTCTCCCGGTCAACAAGTAAACATGCTAGATATGACAAAACAGAATTACTATATGAAGAGGTAAGTGCACATAAAAATTTGAATCTTCAGTGTGTGGATGATGTAGATACAGCTTTTGGAAATTCGTTGTGTCATAGATGATGAGTGCCTGAGAGTATTTTGGCAAGGAAATTTTCACGTGCTTCTTAGATATGATAGAGTTCACACGTTTATCTATTTTGATGTCACTAGATCTGGACATGTGTACTGGGAATATCGCCAGTAAATCAAAGTCATTTTTTATCCTACCGGGGAAAATCACTGGGGAGGAGTACGACCAATCAATTTGATTAAACACGTGTTGTACACTCGAATTCTCAGACTGTATGCATGCATTAACTTTATTCCTTAAACAAATTCCTAGCAAAAAAATAATAACATTGTCGGAGTTGATCACATGAGGATTTGAAAACCCTGGGCAATGTTAGGTTGGAATCTCTGTAGTTTACATTTCCCTCCACAAAGTAGTTTCTGTGATGGGATTTTGCGTGATCGATGTGATATTCACGTGCCGTCACCATGGGATGCTTCTTCAGTCCATTTGGAATACCAACTTCTCCAAGCGTGCATCGAATTACCAGTGCCTTATACAACTGTGAGCAAATGTTCCACCACTTAAACACTCCATAACTGCCCAGGGAATCGCGAGGTGTCGCACTCACCCCTCACCTCTCAAAAAGCGTCTGAAAAGGAAACCCAACCAACTGCCCTTTCGAGTCCCAGGTATTCTGCTGAATTGAGAGAACCAAAAGGCAGTTCCTGGGGTAACGAACCACCGGAAGCTAGCTCATTTAAGAGAGCTCGAACTTTTAGTTTCATCCCATTCCGAAATGCGTGGTTTGGGAAATGTCTCCGGGCCGCTACGGTTATATTAAACGACAGAGTGTATCTCACACCCAGTACGGATGAACCACACTTGATCCAACTCGCACAGCTCTTTCGCGCACTATAGTGTTTTCACGTGACATCACTGACTGTCGGATCAGTGTGCGAGTGACCATTATTTTCGAAGAAATTTACCGGCTTTGATTTCGGCATCACCTAGCAGTATTCTGCCCATAAAAAAACCCTATACCGGTCTCTTTGCTGAAATAGTTCGTGTACCGGATTGTTTTTGATCCAAATCCGGCCAACTATACACTCGGAAAGCACTAGACCCAATTTTCGTTCTGATTGGAGCTCGTCAGTGGTGCACATCTACCGTTCCATCCGGGCTCACATGTAGGCTGTCCCGGTTACGACTGTGCTAACCAGCTCATATCGCGGGACTAATTAGAATGAGTAACCCAAGTTTGGTTGGGGCTCGAAAGCAACGGAAGGCGATAGTTGAATGCCTGATAAAATCATTCTATTCCACCCACCGACCTCGAAAAATCTCAGAAGTCCTGTGTTTCAAGCGCCCATGATCACAAATGATGTGACTCGATGGAAGTGAACCTTCGCTTCAGTGTTTCCTGAGTATATGGTTGACCGAATAACTTCAGGTTAGCTCCAAGGGATTGAAAATTGAAGAATGGTCAGATGGAATTTGTCCTCACTTTTGATCCGCATTTCCGTTCACCTTACACAGTCAAAGAAACGGACTAACCGTCCAATGCTAATCACAACGATCTGCTTCAAAGGTTGCATTGAAAATCGTATATCCTCTAGGGCACGATTCAATGTAAACACACATGCTGACAGTGAGTGCTGCGCAACGTCGAGAATGTGGCATGGTAGTTGATCAATAAACGGCTTGACGTTTTACACCACAAACTTGACCATTTCGCAGAGGTCATGTCGTAATTTGACCAAAAATAAATCATGTACAGGTATTGACCAAACTCGTACAACATGCTGATTTTCATCACATTTGTCCTGTCAGTGCTTCGTTTTTCCAGTCTCATCCACAGGATTGAATATGATATTGCCCCACATCAGAAGCAACATATCTGATACAATAACCACCAGATTCGTACAAGACACCGAATGAGCCTTCGGATTTATGCATCTCTCGATTACGTTGCCTCTGGGCGTCAATAACATTCCGAAACCTTAAAATGTTTCATCCGGTTTGGATATGGTGATACTAGAAGACGTTTATTCAACGAAGCGCAAAACTCAAGGTCAACTTTCTAAGAACAACCTTTATGTTTCTCGGACCATGTTTTCAGTTCTTTCAGTATTATAGATAACGCATGATTGATATATAGCCAAATAATTTATCAACGTATTTTAGAATATTTTCATTAATTTGCTTATTTACTGTGCACTGAATGAAAAGAGATGAGCAATTTAAAATACGTGTTCTCAATTTAATGAACATTCCCATGGAACAGGAGTCATTTATTAAAAGGTATGAACTCCCATGCTGCTTCGCTTAAAATATTTTCCAAATCTGTGCTGTAGCTTTCGAACTACTACAAATTTTATCACAACGCTCAAGGTCACGCTAATTCAAACGGTGATAGAAGAGAACTAACAACATAGTGTCAGAAATAAATATAGTTCACCCACAGCCATCACTATACAGGTATGATATTGGAAACTGAAGGGTATTTCCAAAATGATAACGATGTTGCTCGAGTTCGATTAACATCTCTAGTTTCGTGGGCAGTTGAACTTGCCTAATCAGGTTCGCTCAAGATAGACCCTTTTATTTACGGTCTCATCCAGTCTCAGTGTGCTCATCGAAGAGCATGTTCGGTCAGTTGAGCACCACAAGAAACACGATTGAAACAACTACTTTGTTGTGTTGCAATCGATTTGCTCCGCCCAACGAGCATACCGTTTCTCGATTAAAAAAATTATTCTCAAATCCTTTATTTCTTTCCTGTCCGAGTCTTATTCGGGTATGAAGCAACATATTCGATCTGGAAAAGAATTGGATGTGCAATTCGTTCTCCTCTCCGCTTTGAGGATGATTTTGTCTGGCGGGCATCGTTGTTTGTTCAACTAACCGACTAAGCACGGCTTTTCCGATTGGGTCAATAGTTTTCACCGTGCGTTGAAGAGTTTCCGGTTTTCTAGGAGACCAAGAGATGGAGGGGGACGCGCAAGGTTGGCGAGAATGTACACTGATTGAGTTGCACGAAACACATATTTGTTGGGCAAACAAATCGATCGTTCACTTTGACCAGTCAGTCACACTGGAAAACACTCACATCGACGGAGGGATGTTGCTAATACTAGATAACATAGACAGACAGACAGACAGTAGGTACACAATTCAGATTAAAAGCATCATTTACTCACAGAGGGCATACATATGTCTGGTATATCTTCGTCAGAATCACAGCAGCCCGCCCGTACTCATCTGCCTGTTTGCTTGACTCTTCTTCCTCTTCTACTACTACGGTCCTAGTGCGATGTTCCGTGTTTGTTCATTCCAGTTGGTTGGTGGATCAATAGAGGACACTCATG